TTTTAAAATTTTTTTTTTTTCTCCACAAATTTGCCGACAACGGTATATATATAAAAATAATAAAAAAAAAAAAAAACATAAATATTTAATCTTTGCATGAAACCTTTTTCATTTTCGTAAGTTTGAATAAGAAAGAAAACCTGATTTATCCATAAAAGTACTTATAGAACAATATTTATAATAATTGAATGAAGCCAACTTGAAAAAAAAAAAATGTTTAATGTTTGCATAAGCATTAAAAAATCATGAAAATGATGAAAATGATGAAAATGATGAAAATGATGAAATGATGAAAATAATGAAATTGTTAAGTTTATGCAATTTAAAACTTTATCCTTCTCCTCAAAGATAATAAATGATTATTGAATGAAACAATATTAATCGTTCGTATTATACTTTATTTATTTTTTTTTTTTTAAAAAAAAAAAAAAATTGAATTTCAAAATAATTTTTATAATAAGAAATGAAAAAATTTTGATGATAAAGGTTTACTGCGGAATAGAAATTTTGACACGGAAATGCCATGGAAACCATTGGAGTATCTTAAAATACATGAAATGAATCAAATATTTGGTTTAAAAAAAAAAAATAAATTCAAATTAATTTCGAAATAAATTTTTTGAATATTTTAAATAATTTAAACAATTTCAAACAATGCAATTCATAAAATTGATGCAGTAATATTTATAATTATATGTTAATGATTTAACTTTTTTTGTTAAATGAATATCTAATCATTCAATCATATCACTAATAAATTGTTCTTTTTATGCATAAAATAAATTGATACGCGTTATTGTTTGCAGAATCATATCTCACAATGCGACTTACCCAGCGCATTGTAATTTTGTAATCATTTATTATTACTAATTTCTTTTCTATCCTCCCCCCCTTTACTCTCTTTTTTTTTAAATATGAAATTTTTTCCTATTATTATTATAAAGTCTCAAATGAAAACAAATTTTTGATCCGTAAATTGACATGTTATGTTTATATTTGACACTCATCATAACTAAATAAAGAATCCCACGCTAGATTTTACAAGTAAAAGTGGCTGCAATCTGCAATTTGGCTGCATTCACATGCATAAATAATTTTTTTTTTTTTTTTATATTTGCATTCTTCACCAAATCTGTTACGGTATGACTAACGATTAAGAATAGTTGTTAATTTTATTAATTTATTTATTATAATTTTTTTATAAGTTATTTCAATCACAAATCAAATTTATTCAAAAAATTTTTTTTTATCATTCAAAAGAAAGTGTTCGATATTGTTAATTCCCACAGTTCCTTATCCACATGGGGCTTGTGAAAGTATCCAAATGAAGTATTGCGACACATGTCGTATGTCTAAGATTATCGTACTATAGGATCATCTGTTTTATTACTGACTAAATTAAGAAATTTTTTTTTTTTTCTCGAAAAAAAAATGAAAGGTTAAAGCTGCCTAGGATTTCCTACCTCTAAATGATTCTTTGGATTTTTCCCTTTCATTTTTTTACTTTCACCATTCTTCTCTTTAAGTAATTATTTTCTTAATTTTTCTTTATTTTTTTTTTATCCCCTCTTTCCCTCTCCCTCCCCCTCTCAACTCCCCTTCTTATTTCACTTTCCTATAATTTACGAAAAAAAAAAA